GCAAGTCTGACGCGAGTCCAATCCGACATCATCTTCGCGAATATTTTCTTCCGCGCATCAGTTGCGCGAGCGGGGCGGCGCGAGAGCCGGCGCGGCAAGCTGTCGTGGCAGATCCGCCGTACAAATCAAACGTGAGAAACGAACGTAAGTCTAATGTGAAACGCGCAACGCCCAACGTAAAAATCGGACGCGAAGGCCCGGCGTAAAATCCAACGCAAATCCATAGCCAAAACAATTATTTCACGAACCCTATTCATTCCGCAGGTCTATTGCGCGGGCGAATCGGCGTGGCGGCCGGCGCGGGAAGCTGGTCTCGCGCGAGATTCCAAAGTAAGAATACAACGTGCAAATCCACTCAACGTGAATTTGGCGACGTACACCATCCAATTCAAACGTCCAAAGAGAAGGCCCAGCGTAAACATCCAGTTTGAACATGTCTCTCCTTCCGCAGATCAATGGCGCAAGCGAGGCGGCCCGAATGCCATCGCAAAGAGCTGGCTACGAATTGTACGTGGAAGCCCCGCGTGCAACTCCAGCGTTAAAACCCAGCGTGCAAGCCCGACGTAGAAGTCCAAGGCGAAAAATCTAACGTGTAAACCCAACGCCAATCCCATGCGGAATCCTTCCGGGGCGAACCCCATTCCTTCTGCGGATCAAGTGCGCGGGCGAGGCGGCGCGAAAGCCGTCGCCGAAAGTTGGCGTCGCAAATTGAACGGCAAAGTCCAATATGAGAGTCGCGCGTGCAAATGCAACGCGGAACTCCAGCGTGAAAATCCAGCGCGCAAAACCATGGCAAAACCCAGCGCGCGCCCCATGAGAGACCTGGCTCGCTGATTCGTCTTCTCCCGCGGACCAACTGCAGGGGCGAGGCGGCGCGACGTCCGGCGCAGGAAGCTGACGCGCAGAAACTAACGTCGTGAAATTCCCACTTAGATGTCCAGCGTGCACATCCAGTGTAAAAGACAGGCAAGCAACAAGTTCTCGTGCAAAGTGTGACGTGAGAGCCGGGCGTGAAAATCCAAAGTGCAAATCCAACAAAAAGAAACTAACGTGCAGGTCTTTTGTGAAAATCCAACGAAAGCCTAGTGCGACATGATTTGATGCGCGCCCGTCTCCTTCCGCAGATCAATTGCGCAGGCGAATCGGCGCTTCGATCGCCGGTGCAGAAATTTGGTGCGCAAAATTCGACTGCGCGTAAGAGTGACCCTTCGCCAGAATGACTTTTGGTGCTGGCCCAATGGGGGTCGTGTGTTTTTTCTCGCGGAATGAGTTCGACCTCGCGTCGGCACTCGCATCGCGCGATTGCGCTCGCATCTGGGCGCGCCAGGTTTGGGCCCGCCCCTTACAATCGACAGCAACGCATGCGCGTCGCACCCTGCAGCTTGCATTGGTTACCCAGGGGGGGCCCGTCAACCAGACGGCGCGTTTTCCGGCACAGGACGAGTCCCGAATTTCAGCCCAAATCCGAAAACGTTTGGGGTGAATATCTTTGGGTATTTTTGGATATCTTTGAATATCTTTTAATGCCTTTGAATCTATTTGAATGTTTTGTTTGAATCACTCGGGATCTTTACAAGTAAAAGTTACCCAAAGATATCCAAACATATTCCTCCCTCTCTGATGGGGCCGGTTTCGGCCGTGGCGCCGGGCCTGGTCAGACGTCATCGCGATGCGGCTCTGCAGTGCCAGACCTCCTCGCGGTGGCCCCCGGCAGCGTCTGCTTTTGCAGCGCCTTCGAAGTGCCTTCCGGGGTGCTCGAATTAAATCGGCGGACTTCCGCGGTTGCCCGCTGGCGCAACAAATCTTTCGGGTGGCGCCCCGCCGATCGTTGATGCGGCGCGGCAGCGCTGGCTTGCGCGATTGCGCTGGGCCCCCGCGGGTGTCCCTGAAGCCGCGCGCAAAAGGTCACTCTGGCCCAGGGTCACTCCTACGCGTAGTCGAAAATTCAGACGTGCAAGTCCCACGTAAAAGTCCAGGGTGAAAGTATTACGCGCAGGCTTTTTAGTTCTGCATATATATATATATATATATATGGATATATGGATGTACATATATATATATATATATATATATATTTGTAGATATAAGTAGAAATCCAAAAGCAAACGTCAAAGTCCAACGTGCAAAAGTAATGTTACCACCCAGTGTAGCAATCCAACGCGGCCATCTCACGTAAATCCCACGCGAAATCCTCTTTCGCAAGTCCTCCTCCTTCCGCCGATCAATCGCGCGGGCGAAGCGTCGCGAGGGCCGGCGCGATTGCGCGGCGCGTGAAATCCGGCGCGCAAGTTCACTATGGAAATGCAGCGTAAAAATCCAACGCAGAAAAACCAAAGCACGCCCAATGCGAAATCCCTTTTCACAGCGAGCCCTCCTTCTTCCGCGGATCAATTGCGCAGTCGCAGTGGCGCCGAGGCCGGCGCGAAAGGCTGGCGTCGATAAATCCAGCGTAGAAATCCAGCGTGCAAGTCCAATGTGAAAACCCAGCGCACAAATCCTGCGTGCAAGTCCAGCGCAAAAATCCAGCGCGAGTCCATTGTGTATTCGCATCTCGCAGATTCTTCCCTTTCGGCAGATCAATCGCGAAAGCGAGGCGGCGCGAAAACCGGCGCGAAAAGCTCGCGTAAAACGTCCAACGTAAAAACTCTTGCGTGCAATCCAACGTAAATCCAGCGTGAAAACCGAAAGTGAACATTGAACGTATAAACCAAACGTAGAAATCCAACGCAGAAATCCAGCGGAACTCTAACGCGGATGCCTTTTTCAAGAGCCTCTCTCCACCCGCAGATTTTTTGCGAAAGCGAGGCGGCGCGAGAGCCGGCGCGATGAGCTAGCGTTGAACGTCCAACGTAACAGCCCAACGTAGAAAACCAACGTACAAATCCAAAGTACACATCTTAACGCTGAAATCAGGGGGAGTCCGATGCGAAGCCTTTCTCACGAATCATGTTCTTTCCGCGCATCAGTTGCGCCCGCGAGGCGGCGCGAAAGACGGCGCGAGCGAGCTGGCGTTGGTGGCCCAGCGTAAGAATCCAACGTGAGTCCAATGCGTTTTTCCCCATGGGTCTCCCTCCTTCCGCAGATCCCTTGCGGGGGCGTGGCGGCGTGAAAACCGGCGCCAAAGAGCTATCGTTAGAGTTTGAATGTGAAAATCCAGCGTAGAAGTCCAACGTGCAAATCCCATGCAAAAGCCCGACGTGTAATGGATTGTAGAAATCCAGTGTGGAAGCCCAGCGTAACAAACAAAAACAAAAACCGAACGCAACAACCCGACGTGAGATCCAACGCAAGTCCAACGCGGCACCCTCTATCATGGGTCTTTCTATTTCCGCAGATCAGTTGCGCGCGCGAGCGCCGGCGCGGAATGTTGGCGCGACAAATCCAGCGTGCAATTCCAACGGACAAATCCAACGTGCAAGTGCAACGTGCAAATCCGACATGCAAATCCAACGTGAGTTCAATGCAACATTTTTCGCGAATCCTTCTCATTCCGCGCGAGCGAAGTGAAGCGTGAACTAGCGCGAGAAGCTGGTGAGACAAATCCAACGTGCGAGTCCAACATAAAAATCACATGTGAAGTCCAGCGTGCAAATCCGAAGTTTAAATCCAACGCAACAAGACAACGTAACAAGGTAACGTAAACCGCGACGCAGCAATGAAATTTCAGCTCACGGTTTCACGTGAGTTTGCAGCTCGCCGTCCGTTGCTGCCTCGTGCGTTGGGTAGGTCTGGCGAGGTTTCGCCGCATTGCCGCCTGTTGCCGCGTGCGCTGGGTGGGTCCTGCGATGTTTCGCCACGTTGCCGCCCGTTGCCGCCTCGTTGCCGCCTCGTGCGCTGGGTGTGTCTGGCGAGGTTTCGCCACGTTGCCACCTCGTTGCCGCCTCGTTGCCGCCTCGCTGCCGCCTCGTGCGCCGGGTGGGTCTGGCGAAATTTCGCCGTGTTGCCGCCCGTTGCAGCTTCGTGCGCTGGGTGGATCCAGCGATGTTTCGCCACGTTGCTGCCCGTCGCCGCCTCGTTGCCGCCTCGTGCGCTGGGTGGCTCCGGCGAGGTTTCATCACGTTGGTGCCCGTTGCCGCCTTGTTGCAGCCTCGTGCGCTGGGCGGGTCGGGCAACGTTTCGCCTCGTTTTCTCCCGTTGCTGCCTCTTGCGTTGGGTGGGTCCAGCGAGCTTTCGCCACGTTGCCGCCCGTTGCCCCTTCGTGGTCGCCTCGTGCGCTGGGTGGGTTCGGCGATGTTTCACCGCGTTGCCGCCTAGTGCCAAACAGTGCTTGCAGCTCGGGGTTCTTAGTTGTGTCTCTAAGGAACTGGATGGGTCCAGCGAGGTTTCGCCACGTTTGCTTTACACCCGTTGCCGCCTCGTTGCCGCCTCTAGCTTGCACCATGTATACTGCACCACAGCTTGTCGCCGCCTCGTTGCCGCCTCGGGCGTTGGGTGGATCGGGCAACGTTTCGCCACGTTGCCGCCCGTTGCCGCTTCGTTGCCGCCTCGTGCGCTGGGTGGGTCCAGCGAGGTTTCGCCACGTTATTGCCCGTCGCCGCCTCGTTGCCACCTCGTGCGCCAGGTGGGTCGGGCAACGTTTCGCCACGTTGCCGCCCGTTGCCGCTTCGTGGCCGCCTTGTGCGCTGGGTGGGTCCGGCGAGGTTTCGCCACGTTGCCGCCTGTTGCCGCCTCTTGCTTGCACCACGTATACTGCACAACATAGCTTGCACCACATGCATGCACATACACAGTGCAGTGACTTCTAGATTAGGGTCCACGCTGGCTTGCATTTGTCATGATGCTGGGAATTGGGTTATCAGCTGTGTATTGCCGGCGTCGTTCTATTGTCTTCGTTGCGGCCCCAGGGTGGTTGGTCGTTGAGATCCCTCCTGTCCAGGAAAGCTTCTGGTGACCGAGCACTCCCCCCTGAGATCCGACGTAGCAAAAACAAATGCAACATCGCACAACATCACGACCGGACCCCTGGACCCCATCTTCCTGGGTCATCTTTCGAGCCGGATCGATCTGTGAAGTTCCCGCGCCCCGAATCGGGCGAAAACGCCTGCTGCGAAAAAGTTGCAACGCCTGGGTCTGAGGACCAGTGCGCTGGCCGTGGTACCCAGGCTGCGGGGTGTCTGCCCATCGGGGCAGGGTCTCGGCTCTTCTAGGGCTCGCCAGAGCGGCGCTACTGCGCCCAGATCCCCGGGGAGCGCAGCCAGCAGTCGAGCCGCAGGCGTTCGAGCTCGGGCGGTCCGGCACGGCTTCTTCGGGGCTCGCGGCTGGATGGTCGTGGTATGCTCCGCCCGATCGCTGCGGTGGTTGCTCCTTGCCGCTTAGGCTCTTCGAGCGATGCTCCCTATTCGGCGGCGAGCCCAGGGGGAAAGTGAGAAGCGGCGGGCCTTCTCAGAAGGCTCGGAAGTCCCCCAGCCCTCTGAGAAGTTTCGTAGGCTTTCCCCGAAGACACGAAACACTTTTCACAAGAAAAGTCCCGCCGTCTTTTGAGAAGGCCTTCTCCTTTTCACTTCCCCCCTCGCTCGCCGCCGACCTATGCAGTGCAGCCCCACCCTCAATGAGCAAGTGAGGTACGCGCATGAGCTTCCTGCGAGGAGGGCGGTATGGTTGGTCTTCGCTGCAGCGCTGACGGGATTTCTGGCCTTTGCTTTTGCGGGCTCTCTTGGGTATGCGCACATTATGCCAGCCACAACAGGGTACAATTACATGGGGGAGGGGTACCCTTCAGGAAACAACTATGTATCCCCGACTGTGAGTGAAGTGGTTTCCGACCACGATAGTGCTGCTGGGAAGAGTTTCACGGCGTTCGCGATGATTGCGTCGATTTGTTTATTGATGTCTTGGTACCCTTGGGAGCTCAGCAATGTATACATCGGCCATGAGAGAAAGTCAAAGATTTTGATTATTTCTTGGTGTTCAGTTCGCGCATTCTTGCCGCCACTTAGCATGATGATCGTGGCTCTCGTGCCCACGACACCGTGGGAATTGGCAAGTGCAACGGACAAGGTCACAGTGCTGCTTCACTGCGCAGCGGCGTGCTTGATGTTTGGCAGCTACATCTTCGTCGAGCTCCTGACGCTGGTGACGGAGGGCCCGCATCAGATCAGCATCCGGCACGGGCGCACCCTGGAACGATCGATCCGCTGGTTTACCGCTGTTCAGTGTGCGGGCTGCATGTGCTGCTTCTTGCTGTCGCAGGTCCGACGGACTCGTGCCGCCCCCCCCCGCAGCCCTGGCCCCCCGCATGCAGACGCTCGTCCGCGTGCCTTCTGGCGATCTCCCGTCGATTGCCGGTCCCTCGCGCGACGGCTTCTCTGCGAGGGGCCAGGATCTGAAGGGGGGTCGGCAAGAGCCCGTCGAGAGGGAGTGATCGTGGTTCCAGAGATCCACTTGCGCTGCCGCGCAAATCCGCTGGGACTGGAAGGAGAGCACTTTGCAGAGGCATGAACTTCCGGAGGTCTGCGTGGATATCTTTGACCGGCACTGGACCCTTCTCCCCAGCGCGCTCCGTGCGTTAGGTCAGCCACGCGCAGGGGGGGGGTGGGGGGAGGGTGGAGGGTGGAGGGCTTCTTAGAAGCGCCCCTGCTTCTCAGAAGGCGCGGGTTTTGTCTGTAGATGTGAGGCCGGCGCCTTCCAAGAAGCAGCCTCCTTCCAAGCAGCCTTCCCCCCTCCCTCCATCCCCCTTGTGCGCGCCGCCAACTAGGGGCGGCGCTGGAGGGTGTGGGGTCCCGCGCCGATCGAAGACGTCCGCGGGGATCTCCGAGAGCAGTCGGGGTTGCGAAGAGTTTCCTGCTGGGCTCCAGGGGGCTCGGCTTCCACAGGCCTCCCTCCGCGATGCTGCAGCGACGGGCGGGCAGACGCGGACGCACGCGCGCACACACACAGACACACGCAGACACACACAGACAGACAGACAGACAGACAGACAGACAGACAGACAGACAGACAGACAGACAGACAGACAGACAGACAGACAGACAGACAGAGAGACAGACAGACAGACAGACGCAAGGACGCACAGACACAGACAGACAGACAGACAGACAGACCGACACAGACGCACAGACGCACAGACAGACAGACAGACAGATAGACACACAGACACACGTATTTACACATACACATACACATGCACATAAACATACACATGCACATACACATACACATACACAAACACACATACACATCCACAAGCAATACACATACACATGCACATAAACATACCCATGCACATAAACATACGCATACACATACACATGCACATACACATACACATACATACACGCACACGCACACGCACACGCACACACACACACACACACACCGAAAGCGGCACACCGCTGTGGCGGATGTTGGGGTTGTGCTGCGGCGACGTTTGGCGCAGGCCATCACGTGAAGACTTGGAGAAGATGAGAAGCGAGAATGCCACATCATGGGAGACAACGCTAGTCGAATACAACATGGCCAACAATCAAACCATGCTTTATGACACAGCTAAGGGCGCTGTCCTTGGATTCAAGGAGCTGTCTTTCTGGAGCGAGGTTTTGGCTGGACTCTCACTACTCGCTAACCTGTTCGCTATATGGTATTATTGTCCCGAGCGGTCCATCATCCTGCACAAGCCGAAGGCCCCTTCCTGTGGGACAAAAGCGCAGCCATACTCATACCCGAAGGTGAAGAGGCAGTGGAATATCACGCTGCCGCTGGCAGAGAAACACGGCCAGAGCTCCCGTCTCCATCCCAGTGCGGGATCCCTCGATAAGGATTGATCCATGAGGGTCTCCGGGCCCAGATCGGACGGGGCTGGCACGAGGCTAAGTCCGTTCCAGAGCGTTCCGGAACGCTCTGAGAGCGTTCCAGAACGCTCCAAGAAGGCCCCGGCGGTCCATGCATCCTGCGGAGCCGCCGGATCTCAGAGATTCTTCTCACTTCATCCTCAACCGATTTTATCCTCGTCCTGGCTTCGTCTTGCGAGGTGGAGGACCAGGATGAAGGGGTTGCTCTTGCATCAGCAAGGCTGCGCCGCATGCCTCTCGAGGGAGGGCGAGTCGTGTCGATAGCAGAAGTCCGCCTCTGCACAGGAGTGGGAGGAGGAGGAGTGGGAGGAGGGCGAGGAGGAGGAGGAGGAGGAGTTGGAGGAGGAGGAGGATTAATTTTAATCTTAGTACGAAGACGAATAATAATGGTAATACTTATTTTCATAATCGAATTCATGATACTACTATTACTACTCATAATCAGAAGCAACCCATTACTAAGAATAGTAAGCATACTAATATTAGTTATACGAATAGTAACAATAGTACTAATAATATCAATAATGGGAATGCTATGACACATCATTGTATTATTGATAATAATAAGGAGAAGAAGAGGAGGAGGAGACGGATGAGGAGGAGGAGGAAGAGGAGGAGGAGGAGGAGAAGGAGGGGAAGTTGGAGGAGGAGGAGGAGGAGAAGTAGGAGGAGGAGGAGGAGGAACCCCTTCTCCCTCTTCGCACCTCCCCCTCCATATCTCTTGAGACACGAGCCAGCAGGATTCAACTTGCTCTGCCTAGTTTACCTCGGGAATCTCACTTTTTCGATTCAGGGACTGCTCGCCCGTGTCTACGGTCCAAGATGTACGTTTAGGCACGTGTCCGCAGCACTTCGCATCGCAGGCCGTGTCACTTAAGGTGACCTGCAAGATGTCCGACACTCTGCCGTCGCTCCTCGATCTTTGCACACGTGACGCATTGAGTTTCTGTACGAAGGCACGCCGCATGCACCCAACACCGATTTGTTCAAGCGGGACGTTCACTGTTTCGCGATCTGTGCGGCTACAGTGCCATCTGGAAGGCAACCACCATATTCTACATCGCCGTAACCTTCAAGACGGTGTGCGCGATGCGACCCGCTCTAGACGCTCTCACCGCAGACCGTTTGGAACAGCCATGCAGGGAGGCCAGGTATGCCGGGCATCAAATCAGGTGCGTATGTACCGCGGGCGCTGCCAGTTCCAACTAGCTTATCGGTGCCGCCTTCGCCGCGTCGGTCAGCCCCGCCATCGGGGTCAGGGCCTAGTGGGATCCACGATGTTCTGTAAGAAACAACGGCACGACACCTAATGAAGTGGGCATGCGTTCCAGAACGTGCGCCACGCACTTGCAGAGAATTGATGGAATATCTTCGTCTTGCCCAGCAGCTGCCCCACTGCTGCAAAACTCCTGGGTAACCAGTGTTTTGCATGCCCCCGCCTTGTGCCACTGAGACCCTGGAGATTACAATCACCACGGTCGTGGACGCTGCTCACCAGTTCCGCAGTGAGCGGGGTAGCCACTATGTTGTGACCATTGGATGAGTTTATTGCTCCCTGCGACCTGGTCGACACCGCCCCCGCCCACGAAGACACCACTGTCACCACTACATCGACAGCACCCTCCAGAAAAAAAACGACGCTGACTGGCGGAAGGCGACATGTGCAACACTTCCCAACATGCCCAGGACACCAGTTTCCGCCACCATTGTCTTGTCTTGAAGGTGCATAATGACACGGCCGCCGGCTACAGGCTTGGCGTTCGCGTTGAGCGCAGTGCTGATTCGGTGCGTGTCTTCAAGGGGCGGACACACGCGTTCGTCGACCAGTGAAACCGCCGCGTGCCAGATTCGGTCCTTCGATCTGGTGGCTTCCTCGTCCAGCCCTGCGGTCGACGCGGCATGTGCTGGCATGCCAGACATTTTCACGGACCTGCGCCAATTTGGCGACCTTCTTGGCAGTTTGCGCGCTCTGTACACATCAGCAAAACTGAGCGACTGCAGAGTCACGTGCACCTGCGCGAGCTCCTGTTCGCGGGGGCGCGTTCATCGATCCATATATAGTCAGGACGCTAAAATTCGAGGCCCCTTTGTGCGCGTGAGAAGCTATGGTTTTCGGGCCGTTCCCTCGGCTCAGGCCGTGGAACCTGTTCGTGGCCGAGGCTCGCCGTGGCCAGTAAAGCCTTTTCGTGCCTCATTTGGCGTTCCTAGCGTCATCGAGGATACAAGATCTTTAACTAACATCGTACAGTGCCGTTTTTCCCTACCTAGGCTCTGCCTAGAAGGTTCTTACTCGGTATGCTTAAATGGCCGGGCAGTGCAACTCGCCCCGGGCGGTTCCCCCAGTATCCGTCCCGCGGTTCCCCCAGTTACGTCCCCTTAGCTTAGCGTTGCTTATCTCATCTCAGCTTAGCTTATTTCATCTTAGCTTAGCTTAGTTTCATCTTAGCTCATTAGCATGGGTGTAATTTCCTACCTAGGCTCTGCCTAGAGGGTTAGCTTAGCTTAGCATAGCATAGCGCAGCGCTGCATTAACCAAGCATAGCATAGCATAACATAGCCGAGCATAGCATAGCATAGCATAGCGCAGCATATCATAACATAGCATATCATATCATATCATAGCATAGCATAGCGCAGCTTATCATATCATATCATGACATATCATTTCATAGCGTATAATATCATAGCACATTTTATCATAGCACAGCGCAGCATTACATATGATAGCTTAGCATAGCATATCATAGCATAGCATCGCGCAGCATAGCATAGCATAGCATAGCATAGCATAGCATAGCGCAGCATAGCATGGCATAGCATAGCATAGCATAGCAACTACTGCTGCTTTCCTAGGGGCTCCAACTTCTAGGTAGGGTCGCACTGGGGTAATTGATACATGCTCCGCGTGCGGATCATGTATTAAATATGCAAGGACTTAGTATTAAAAACGATGAGCTCATGCATCATGTATTAAACATCCGCTTTAATCATCCCATGTATTAAACACTGCCCTGTAAGGACGTGGCCGCATGCAGGCCCTCGTCTTCTCACCAGGGATACGTACTGGATGCGGGCGGCTGGGCTCGAGGCACCTGCAGAGCGGCCCCCCGGTCCCTAGTCTGGTTGGCCCTCCTAACTTATAGGCCGCCCCCCTCCAGACGGCTGGAGCGCCTTGGCTGGCTCTTCACCACGGCGGTGCGATGACCGCTACGGTATGCCAGCTCTGCTCGCCCTGCGCACCTCGAGGCCTGCCACCTCGGCCTTGCTCGGTGTAGCCCGCCAGGGCAGGCGCGGCCGCTCCTCCGGGCAGCGGCGCCGCTTGCGTCCAGGCCTCGCGCTCCGCCAGCGGTCCTGACTGGTGCAGATCGGTCCGGCACCCCCGCCGCGCGGGATGGCGGCGAGCGAGGGGGACAAGTGAGAAGGAGGAGGCCTTCCCAGAAGGCGGCGAGGCTTCCCAGGAGCCCTCGCGCCTTCTGAGAAGTTTTTGTGTCTTCGGGGAAGGCTTAGCACACTTCTCAGAAGGCCGGGGGACTCCCGAGCCATCTGAGAAGGCCCGCCTCTTCCAACCTTCCCCCGGGCCGCCGCCGATCGTTGGCATGATAATGCGCCAAGGGCGGACTGCCCGCCACAAGCCTGTCGTAAACGCCTGTCGTCCCGCAAGAAGTCTCAGATGAGCATGGCCACCATGAGGCCGTGGACATGAATGTGTCTCCCACACATGGTCCCCTTTCCCCCCTCCCTTCTTCCTCTTCCTTCCAGGACGGAACGGGAACTCCCTCCCTCCTTCTCCTCCCTCCTCCCTCCTCCCTACTCCTCCTCCTCCTCCTCCTCTTCCTCCTCCTCCTTCTCCACCCTCATTCTCCTCCTTCCTTCCCGCAGCGGGAACCGGTATGAGTCTGGGCGCGCTTTAGCTGCCCCCCTGCCGTCTGGCACGTACTCGGAGGAGGACGCGTCTAGCCGCGGCTCCAGGAGCGACGGCGAGGAGAGCTCGGACGGCTAGGGCGATCGCCTCTCCTCGGTGGACGAGGGCGATCGCGCGGATCGACCGCGGAGCGTCCTCGCTTGAGCGCGCCGGCGCGCTCCTCCTCCTCGTCCTCCTCGTCCTCCTTTTCCTCCTCCTTTTCCTCCTCCTCCTCTTCCTCCTCCTCCTTCTCCCCCTCCTCTTCCTCCTCCTAGGGTTTTCCTCCTCCTCCTCCTCCTCCTCCTCGCGGGCACAGCTCATTTCTGCAGGTGGGCGGGCGGGCGCGGTCCGATCTTCTGCCGGCCTCGTGCTCTATATCGCCTGGCGGACGGGGGGAGGGCGGCGAGGCGTCTCCAGTCGAAGGAGAGAAGCCGCCATAAGCATAAACTTGTGGCGCTCCGCGCGGATTTCTTGGATCCGGTTCCCTGGCGGCGCCTGTGGCGCCGCCCCTAGCGCGCTCCGCGCGCCAGGGAGGGGGGGGTCCAGCGCGGATCCAAAAAATCCGTGCGGAGCGCCAACAGTTTCTGCATATGCCGTTTTTTCTTCTTCTTCTTCGACTCCAGGGAGCAGGAGGAGCGAGAGGTTGAGGAGGAAGAGGAGGACCAGTGTAAAGCCAAGACGCACCAACGACGTCGCAATCAACCGTCCCTCCAAGTTCTCTTTGCATAGGTTCTTAAGATAATGCGCTTTCATTGCGTTGCGGGAAGTGGTCCACTAGAACACCACGAACCGTTTGCGAATCCTCAATTGTACCAGAAAGCCCTTCCTGGGCCTTCAGCGCCGCGGATCAACGCGACTGTTGCGTCCTGATAAGTCTAAATCGTGCCTGACATTTTTCTTGGGATTTCAGGATCGAGCCAAAGTGACTGCTGCGTCCTGACAGATGCAAATCGGGCCAGAACACCATTCCTGGGTCTTTGACCATCAGATCCTTGGAACGGTTGCAAACTTTTAAGATAATTGTGCGTGGCGGTAAGGCGAGAGCTCCATGTTGAAAACGGCTCGCCCACAAGCCTTCAGGCAATTCCAAACTTTTGGACGACCAGGCGCGGCGCTTCGGCGAGAGCCATAGTTTGAAAATTATCCCGGCAAAGCAACCTAACAGCGATGTGTAGAAGCATATCTGAAAGCATTCCCCTTAAGATTCAGATGAAAATCCAGTTGTCGAATTCTGCTGTTCTCGCAGTCGTAGTCGCATTCGCGATGACAGTCGCAGCGGCAACGGCAGTCGCAGTCACAGCCTCAGCCTCAGCCTGCCTCAGCCTCAGCCTCAGCCTGCCTCAGCCTCAGCCTGCCTCAGCCTCAGCCTCAGCCTGCTTCAGCCTCAGCCTCAGTCTGCCTTCAGCCTCGGCCTCAGCCTCAGCCTGCCTCAGCCTCAGCCTGCATCAGCCTCAGCCTCAGCCTCAGCCTGCCTCAGCATCAGCCTGCCTCAGCCTCAGCCTCAGCCTGCCTCAGCCTCAGCCTCAGTCTGCTTCAGCCTCAGCCTCAGTCTGCCTTCAGCCTCGGCCTCAGCCTCAGCCTGCCTCAGCCTCAGCCTGCCTCGGCCGCAGCATCAGCCTGCCTCAGCATTCAAAATGTGGCCCAGGAATGGAGTTCTGGGAACTAGAAGAACACGAAGTGGCCTACAGTTGGCTCCGGGCATTCAAAATCATGCCCAGGAATGGAGTTCTGGGAACTTGAAGAGCACGAAGTGGCCTACAGTTGGCTCCGGGCATCCAAAATGTGGCCCGGGAATGGAGTTCTGGGGAATCGAAGAGCACGAAGTGGCCTACAGTTGGCTCCGGGCATCCAAAATGTGGCCCGGGAATGGAGTTCTGGGAAGTCGAAGAGCACGAAGTGGCCTACAGTTGGCTCCGGGCATCCAAAATGTGGCCCGGGAATGGAGTTCTGGGAGCACCAAGAGCGATTTTGCGAGGATGTCCAAAGCGATTTGGGCTTCGGCGGCAGCCGTTCCGGGTCCCGCCCAGACCCCCTTGTGGAGTCATCTGTTGCTCTTATTTGAGACCACTAGAAACCTATCAGCAAAAGCTGTTAGGTAAAAAACACCCTCCATTTTTGCAGCTGTTATCCTCTTTTAGACACATGTGCGCGGCGCTAATTCGAGAACCACAGTTTGAACACCACCCGACCTTTATTCGTGAAATGCTGCAAGACGAATATGCGCGATGCTGAGGCGAGTCACATTTTGAAAACCACCCGCTCTCCATCCGTGAATTCCTTGAGCACTTTTAGAACGAATCTGCGCGGCGCTAAGGCGAGGCTGCATTTTGGAACGACCCGCCCTCCATCCGCATTCGTGTACTGATTTGTATTACCTTGTTCATGAGACTGATGACTATGATGCTGGTGACATCGACGACGACGATAATGGTGACCATGGTCGCTGATGGTGATGCTGTTGTTGAGGATGGGGATGGGGATGGGGGTGGCGATAGGGATGATGATCATGATGATGCTGATGATGAGGATGAGGAAGAGGAGAAGGAGGAGGATGATGACGATGATGACGATGATGCTGCTGGTGATGCTGATGATGATGGTGTTGATGATGATTATGGTTATCATGATGATGACGATGTTGATGATGATGATGATGCTGATTGTGGTGGTGGTGGTGGTGGTGATGTCGCAGATGCTGATGATGATGATGGTGATGGTGATGAGAATGATGCTGATGATGTTGATGCTGCTGGGGATGAATATTATGATGATGATTCTGATGATGGTGACGACGATGATGATGACGATGATGGTGATGATCATTATGGTGATGAGGAGGAGAGTGCTGCTGATGATGATGGTGATGATGGTGTTGATGGTGATTCTGACTGTGATGTTGATGACGATGCTGATGATTATGGTGGTGGCTGTGATGATGATGATGCTGACGCCGATGCTGATGATGATGCAGATACTGCTGCTGATGATGATTGTGGTGCTGATGATGCTGCTGATGATGATGCTGATACGGATGGTTTTGATGATGCATATGATGATGATGATGATGATGATGATGATGATGATGGTGATGACGATGCTCATGCTGAATGTGATGATGATGGTGATGATGCTATTGACGCTGACTATGGCTATGATGATGATTCTGATGATGAAGACGACGCTGCTGCAGCTCATTGCGACGATGATGTTGATGATGATGTGGATGATACTGACGAAGATGATGATGCCGATGATGATGTTGATGACGATGATGATGATGATGCTGATTATGATGAGGAGGATGATGGAACTGATGCTGATGATGGTGATGATGATGCTGATGCAGGTGATGATGATGCTGATGATGACTGTGATGACGATGGTGATTATGGCGTTGACGATGATGATGATGATGATGATGAGGATGCTGATACCGATGATGATGATGCTGATGATGATGCTGATGACGATGGTGCTGATGATGATGCTGATTCTGATGATGCTGATGATGATGATGACGATGATGGAACTGATGCTGATGATGCTGGTGATGATGATGATGCTGATGATGATGATGATGATGATGATGATGATGATGATACAGGTGATGGTAATGCTGCTGATGATGATGATGATGATGATTATGGTGTTGACGATGATGATGAGGATGCTGATAACGATGATGATGATTATGATGCTGCAGATGATGATGATGATGATGATGATGATGATGATGATGATGATGATGATGAGGATGATGATGATGATGACGATGATGATGATGATGATGATGATGGTGATGCTGACGATAATGATGATGGTGCTGATGATGATGCTGATGACGATGATAACGATACTTATGATGCTGCTGATATTGATGTTGATTATATTGATGATGATGATGATGACGATGATCGTGATGATGCTGATGATGATGATGACGATGATGATGATGATGATGATGATGATGATGATGATGATGATGATGATGAAGATGATGATGATGATGATGATGATGATGATGATGATGATGCTGATGATGCTGATGATGATGATGATGATGATGATGATGATGATGATGATGATGATGATGATGATGATGATGATGATGACGATGATGATGATGATGATGATGATGATGATGATGATGATGATGATGATGATGATATTGATGATGGTGATGATGGTGATGATAATTGATGATGCTGATTCTGATTATGATGAATACGCAGGAGGAGGCGGAGGAGGAGGTGCAGGAGGAGGAAACACCTCGCTGATCTCGTTGTCGTCGTCCTCCTCCTTTTCCTTCCTCCGTCCTCCCCCTTCTCGGCTGCGCCTGCGCGCGCTGTTTTTTCGCTGAAGGCGGGTGCCGAGAAGCGCTCTGGCGCCACTGGGGATGCCTGCGCGGCGGCAAAAAAGCTGCGACGGACGATCACCCTTGCGGCGGGGCCGCCGCCGACGTCGACGACGACGACTGAAGGCGGGACAGTGGGAGGAGGAGGAGGAGGAGGAGGAGGAGGAGGAGGAGGAGGAGGAGGAGGAGGAGCAGGAGCAGAGAGGAGGAGGAGCAGAGGCGGGGAGGAGAGGAGGAGCAGGAGGAGGAGGAGGGAGGAGGAGGAGGAGGAGGAGGAGGAGGAGGAGGAGGAGAAGGGGAGTTGGAGGAGGAGGAGGAGGAGGAGGAGGAGGAGGAGGAGGAGGGGGAGGATGACGGTGACTTTCCTCCGTCTCCGCCCTTGCGGGGCCTCCCGGGAGGGTTTGGCCACAGGCTGGCCGCAGCTCGGCGAGTGGGCCATGAGAGGCCCCAGGCGGTATGCTTGGCTGTGCTTTCCTGTTTGTCTCTGTTTTTGTGCGTGTGTGTGTGTGTGTGCTGCGCAGAGAGCGACACGCACAAGCAAACAAACACACACACACACCCACACACATAGACACTTACACAGATGCCAACACAGACACACAGGCACACAGACACACACAGACACACACACATAGACACGGACACAGACACAGACGCAGACACGGACACGGACACAGACACAGAAACGACACAGGCACTGACACAGGCACACAAACACAGACGCACAGACACAGACACAGACACAGACACAGACACAGACACAGACATAGGCACAGACACGGACACACACACACACACACACACACGCACACGCGCAGGCGCAAACGCACACGCACACGCACATGAAAAGGCACACAATCGCACACACACCCACACCCACACACCCACACGCCCACACACCCACACACCCCCCCCCCCCCAACACACACACACACCTTCAAAGACACAGACACAGGCACAGACAAAACACAGACACACACACACACACCCGCACACCAACACACACACACACCATACAACACACCACACACAACACACAAACACACCAAACACACACACACCAATCTCACACACACACCACACCCCAGACACCATACACCACACACAAACACACGGACACGGACACTGACACAGACACATACACGCAGACATACACACAGGCACACACAGACACACAAAGACACGTATACAGGCACACACAGACACAGACACGTACACAGGCACAGGCACAGACACAGACACAGGCACAGACGCAGACACGGACACAGACACACAGACACAGACACAGACCCACACACACACACGCACACGCACACAGACACAGACACGGACTCAGACACAGACACAGACACAGCTACATACGCACACAGACACACACACACACGCACATGCGAACACGCACACGCGCACGCACACGCACACGCAAAGGCACACACACACGCTCACACACGCTCACACACACACCCACACACACGCACAGACGCACACACGCACACACGCACACACGCACACACCCATACACCTATACGCCCACACAGACACAGACACAGACACACAGACTCGCACACAGACACAGACACAGACACACACGCACACAAACACACACACACGCACACCCACGCACACCCACGC